CTCTCTGGAGATGGTCTAAAAGAGGAGAACTTGTTGTTTACACTTTTATTCTACTTTAGTTTCTTCGAACATCTGAAGGAAAGTGGACAACAGATGAATAAAACGGGGTCTTGTGGCCCTGTGGGACCGAAATCTTGTCTCAGAAGCACCCAGCTGAGCATGTGGCACACTGTGCAGCTTCATCACTGAGCCTTCCCTTCAGACTCCCTTCACTCTGTCGAAAGAAGCACCGAGTTGGAGCCTTTTTTAAAATTACAAGGTCAGAGTTTCAACTGCACCCGTGTCGACGACACCCCTTCTTTCCCTTTACTCATGCATACACACAGGCACATCCCACACACAGAAGCCCACAGACACACACATGTACACAGGGCCAGCCCAAAGATGATCTTCAGTTTACCTCCGAACACAGATGTTTCTCAGCTTGACAGACTGAAGCTAATGATCCTTTTTAACACATTTCTGCTTGCATGTTAACTCGGTACCTATGAAACAAAACAGTAACATATGTATTTAAATAAGCAAGGACTCCGAGCTTGAATATCTCTCTTCATCACAAGAGCTGTTTTTTTCAGGAAGCAACTGAAAAGTGAAAAGTGGTTAAAAAAAAATCACACAGATAATTACAAGAAGTCTGCAGCACATTTTCTCCTTTTTTCCCCCCACACAGCAAAAGTCTAGAAATATCAAGTGAGTCACGATGCTCATTACCTTTCCAAATATGATCCTTCCAAGCACTTATTTCTTGTAAGGGAGAACTGTTATGGGGACGTGAACTGCTAATGCAGTACTGACTCTCATATCAAATTTCTAATACAAATTAGGAAGGGATGCTTTGCTTTAATGGATTTCTGTCACCATCACTGACCAATGGGTATTGTTTAAAATATAAGATTTTTTTATTTAGAAACCCCAGAACTTGAAAGCTAACAAATCTATATTACTAACAAAGACATTGAAACACGGAACACATTTTGTTTCCACATCTTTCCACAGTACTGTGCAGAAGTCCAACATCTTATTTCTTTAATTTTTTAAGAAAAAATGGACATAGGTGTAGGAATGAATGGAAGGAATAAAATCAATATTTGGCATGACCACCTTTATTCTTCAATAAAGCCTGAACTCTCTCAGTCAAGCATTCTTTTAATCCAGTCGTTAAGTGATGACGTGTCGAATCCTACTTCCGGGCTAAAGTAGTCTGCGTTTAATATGGCTTTTGTGTTGTTAACATGTTTAATGTTTTGTATTTTCTTCTACTTAATCTCAAAAAGCTCCTAAAACAGTCAGTGATCACTGTTGACCTCCCTCTGCTTTTATTACCGCTAATCGTTTATTTAAGCTCAGTTTTTAAAACCTTAGGATGTAACTACAGCCCAGCCCATGCAGCAGTATATGAATGACTAACCTCGTATTGTGGATGGATTATCTCAGTTGTTCTCCTGGCTGAAGTTTGGTCCTTTTACGGCATCCTGCCATGCGATTACATTTGTTCCTGACCACCGAGAACACTCACGTTAACTTTTATCGAGTGGAAAAAAAGTTAGCTTGTTTATATTATGCTAACATAGCTGTGTCGCTAGCGGTCACGTAGCACATCATTATATACCAGCTAGCCAAACTTCAGTAACCTTACAAACGTCACTGCTTTTTAGTTTTCTGTCTTCATTTATGTTGGAAGTGATAACAGAGCTGTACGTTTTCATTTGTTTCCAAAACCCTGCAGTCAGGACATGCTATATTGTATTTAGATAGAAGCTAGCGAGCTAACTTCCTGCTAACTTCTAACTCCGTTAAATGTCATAAATTCCGTTTTCATGGATGCCTGGATGTTAAACTCAATTGTTACACCTGGTAGAGCAGAATGCTGATCATTTTATTAAAGATGAAAGACTTTAGACAGTTTTTCAACTCTCAGTAATGCCATAGTGATCGTTTGATATATGGACCTGCAGCGGAGTTTAGGCCCAGACACGGCTAGTGACGTCAGACTTAACGACCGGATTCCTTAAAACAGTGATTAGCAATAGTTCCTCCCATGTGGGGAAGCCTATCCATGACTCATAGTGTTCCACTGTGTGTTTTTCTATCCAAGTGCTTTTACTGCATTGGCAGTGTGTTTGAGATCATTTCCTTCGTTAAACATTGCTTCTTTTCAGCCACCCTTGCATTGAGATTTCCTGATGAGGTATCAGTGAATAATAGATGGATCAACCGCATCTCTCAGGTCCTATGTCCTCGCTGGACTTTTCTCTATTTATTAAAAACATGAGTTCCAGATTCAAGATTCAAAAATACACTGCATGCCATGCTGAGATAGGTCAAGGTTATGGCTAACTGATCTTTGGGATTCACCTTCTTGGTGGAAGATATACTGTTATGCTTTTCAAAATCTTTTCTTTTAGATTGGACTAAGAAAATATAGTGTGCTTTTATGACAGACTGCTAGTAACTGCCCAAAGATATCTTTTAAAATTGATGATTTGCTAAGCTGATGATTATGGGAGAACATGGGTGAAAAAGCAGAGCAATCAAAGTCAAAAGAAAAACTTTTAAATGGGTTCAGAAACCCTGTCGAACTACTGCTGAAGACCAAATTCAAAAAGATAACAAGGAAATCTGTTTCCTTGGAAGCCAAATATAAAGACATATGAGGTGACTCCAGTCTTATGCGCATAATGTATATGCAAAAATTCACTTCTTTGTATATGAGGGAATGTTTCTGTCAAAACGTCTGTTTGGGCTTGTTGCTTGTTTAGAATGCATTTCTAGAAATGGTCTTTTTCTTATGCTGATTATAGTTGTGAGAACTTGAAGCACCGGTATCAGCAACTGAATTTATGTATGTGCGGTGCATATTTGTGCTATGGTAGAAGTTAAGATCTAAGAAGTGCAGCGGTTTAGTTCATGTCACCTTTGTTGAGCCATAAGATTGAAAGGTTAAGAGTTGAAAAGTTGAGAGGTCACATAGTAGTTGTTACTAAAACTTGGAACAGAATGAAACAATATGTTAACTGTCCGAGTGATGTAACATGTTTGGTGGCACAGTCATTCAAGAACATGATACCTACTGATTGTTACATGATTGGACTAAAACTAGCTTTAAAAAATATATCTATTGCAGTATTTCATATTCTCAAGTACTTTCAAAAGCTTGTGATTAATGCAATTAAAAGGGGCGCTTATCTGATCAAACCAGTCTTGATAAATAATCATTAAACAACTGGTTGTTTATCGATGACATTTTTGATGATATTTTAGAACAAAATACACATTTTGAGTCTCCCTGCTGTGCAGGTGTAGCTCAGGTCATTCACGCTTCCCGTCACCACGGCAACAGTCTCACGGACATGTCATCTGCTGAGCAGCATGGTTAGCTGTGGATTGCCTGACCCTATATCTCAGTCAGTCAGTAGTTCAAACAGTACGCAACAACAAACATTTCTCCCCAGTGACCTTCTCTTCATGGCTTCAGCCAAATTGAACAAATCAACTCGTTTTTTTTTTCTCCTTACCTACCACATTTCCCTCTTTGTCTCCCTCTTCCACTCTCCCCTTAATTTACCTGTCACACCCACAGAAGCTTATCTGTGATGAAAAACACAAGCTCTCTTACCTAATAAAATGGCACCACTTTGTCTGATAATTCTGTTTACGCAAATACGGGAAGAACCATAAAGCCTATTCAATATACGGGAAGAGAAAGGGCAAGAGAAAGTACTAGATTCATTCAGTTATCTTTTCCAGAGATTTATGTTTTATGGAATTATAAATTTCACATATGGATTTGTTTATAAGTCCGTGGTGTATCTTCATTTGTTATTATTCCAGGAAACTCTGCTTTTCCCAACATTTGAACTATAGTGTCTTTGCTTTTAGTTAGATTGGGCATTAATCAGCTAGAAGAAGGCAACATTCAATCACAGTCTGCTTTATCCCTCTAGCCAGCAATCAATATCTGAACTGCAATAAGGGTTGTTTGTTGGTTTATAAATCATTTGTCCTTTTATTACCAATTCTAGCCGCAAAAGATTAAGATATTCTATCACTATGTTACTCTTTAACCTAATTACTTTATCTAGTTTCATCTCTGAGCTATTTTGTCCAGATTAAATCCAGCTACGGCTACCTGACCTTAGTCACACATAATGCCCGGAAGCATCAAGTGGCAACGCAGAGATACAGTCTGTAAATTTGTACTCTTACGGGAAATCATAAGCTAAGCTGGTAGCCTCTCTGATTTTCACAGTAATTGATCCACATCGTAATCCTTTGTAAATACAGTATGAATTTACAGATAATAGGGATTAGGATGATTGCATCTGTGATTCAAGAGGTCTGTTTCTAAATCTAGAGGTCAACTGTAAGGTATTTACAGTAAATATTAGTGGACATCTCCCTGTGTGAGATAAAGAGTGTTTCTAGAGCCAAATAAAACATTTAACAGAAGTCAGAGTTGGGGTGACTTCCTGCACATTACCCCAAGATGAATATATAAAGAAAGAAAGAAACCCTCCTTGTTTGCATCACAAGTGAGCACATGTGGGAATCTGCTGTGTTCAGTACAGGACAATGATGTTTGAGGAAATAGAGCCTTGGAGTATAAATAAAAAACTAATAAACAAGGAAAACTGCTATATAACTTCATTACTACTATGTAGCTTTGGCAGTTTTCTGCTTCACTGATAAATATATTCTTTTATTTTAGTAAAAAATAATCTTTTTATTTGCATGCTGTCAAACATTAAACCTGCTAATAATAACTAGTAGGATCGCCCTTTCACTGTTTGCATTTTTCCTATTTAGTCAATATTGCTTGTTGAGGCAACCATGTGTATTTACTGCCATCTAATGTTGGGATAAAATTGTGATGAAACCAGTTTCCCATGATCTAACTGTATTTCACTGAATATGCAGTGTGCCTGCATGTCGTTGAGATACTCCAACATTTTATTCCTCTTTCTGCTAAACAGAAACCGTTTAATAACCGAAGACAAAAATCCATTTTCGACTTTTATTTTCCATTGCACAGTAATCTCTATCTACAGAATTTCTAAATTTTTGTGGCAGCAGATAAAGTCATAAACATCCATGTGAAAGTTGCATAAAACTGTACAAGAAAATTGGCTACAATGAGAAAAATACTGCAACCCACTGATAACTGTTGAATCGAGGACAGAAGATGGCATATGGCAGATAGACAGGACTCCCTCTTATTGAGTGTGGATCATATCAGGTAGGAATACTGCATACTGTAGTACATGGGCTGAAAAATCAAATTCACTGAAAGATGGGAAAACAAGTATAACATTCAAAGAAATAACAGCTGGATTAAAGGGAAAGACATCAAACGGATATTGGTGAGGGGGCTGACTTGTAGCTAAAACAGCTATTTTTCCTGAAGTACTTCGTTTTGTCTCTCTTTTTAAGCTTAGGGGCGAAAGATAGACCAACCAGCCAACATTCACACCACAATGCTTACTGGAAACACAGGAGGCCACATCTGTAGCAGCGCAACCAACGGAGAGAATACAGATGACAAGTGAAGGACTTTTAAATTAAACCAAAATTTAGAGGTCATCCTCACATATTATCACACATGATCTTATCCTTGTCCTCTTTTTTTTCTTTTTTACTTTTTTTGAGTTTGTCCACACTTACCTGAACTAGGACATCACCAGCAATGAGTAAACAAAATATAATAAATCATATCACTTCATTTACATGAACATAACCTTACATACAGACAGAGAAAATGTACAAATACACCCATTCACACAGATGAATACCATAAACATCATTTGAGGTGTGGTGGAATGATAGTGATTTTTATGATCCATCGTGTTACAAATGGCTGAGTTCCTTTGCGACTTTCCATTTCCTGAACCCTGAAAAGTGACAAGGGTGATATATCTAAACTGGATAACACATATTCACATGTACCGTGTGGTTTCCAGACTCGCGGCCAAATGCTATGGGACAACGCAATGGGAAAGGTAAAGCAATTCTTTGGCGTCAGAAAAAAATATGGCCTGTCTCCTCTTTTGTTGCCTGAGCAACTTCGGCATTTACTTTCCACTTAGATTGTCAAACTATTTACTTATATACAAATAAAGGTTAAAAGCCCGGCAGACAGATACATCACGTTTGAGTTCGACTGCAAACATGGAAAATAGAAACAGGATAATAATGAAGGTAACACCAAACACAGCTGTCTCCTCCACCTCAGTAAGTAAATATTAAAAGGAATCACACGTACAGACAAGTGTGAGCAAAACACAGAAAATAACAAAAAATAAATAAAAATACACGCAAAAAGTTTCAAATATGTCCCTTTGAAAGATTACTCAGCCATTTTCTTGTTTTTATCCCATCTGTATGATTACTGTTAGGGTTTATGCTTGCAATGTATGTAATCCAATACTGATACTTGGCTATTTGTGTATTTAACGCTGATTTCATCAAACCACCGAGCTCGTGACATCGGAGACAGAGCTAGCAAGTGGGAGGCAGCTCACATTGCATCTGATAAGTGATTAAATGACATTTTCAGTAAAGGAATAAATGTGTGTGGCTCATACATGCTCTCTTTTAGAATTTAAAAAAAAAAAAAAGCTGATGTCACCATGTTACTGAGTCCCAAATATGCCTTTTATATCCTTGCCCTCCTTATAGATTCCAGCCCTTTTCATAAGGAGAAATTAATTTCAGTTGTTAGACAACAGTCACAAAATGTATTTTCTTTTTCAACAAATTAAATATCATCCACTTTCACAACAATAGAAAAATAAGAGATTTTCCAATAATATTACTACTAATAATAATGAGCATAATACAGACGGAGCAAATAACCCAACAAATAACAAATAGAGGAATGGCGAGAAAAGAAATTCACGCACGCACATACGTTCTCACGCACGCGCCCACACACACACGGTAACGATTTGAAAGTTTGTCAAATACAGAGGTGAGTCTAGAGATTGAGCAAGATGATGAAATATCCAGTGTACTTCCGAATGAGTTATCCCTGCGACCCTCTGCATAGAGGAGACATCGCTATCGCAGCACTTCTTATACCTCTCCAACGGTGCCTCCTTCGGCCCTCGCGCCCCGCTTCCATCTCCCCGATGAGTTATCCCTTTGTTTTGTACTTGTCACTTGGAAGTGGATACAGCATTGCACATTTATTAGATCTATGTATATATAATGATGTATTTACTTTTTTTTGTACATTTTAATAACTTTTTGAAGTCTTTGCTTCTTCATTACACATTTGTCTTTTTTTTTTTTTAGCCAGTTTGAATATTGGCCACGAGGGTACAGAGTAGAGACAACAGTAAAGAACATTTTGGCAAATGAGAGTGAAGAATCTTCAGGTGCATGGGCCAGTCAGCTACCTCAGAGGAGAGGCTGAACAGAGATAAACAATGAGACAAGAACATAAAAAGAAGACACCATTTATTAAGTTATTCCCTCTGAGGTCGTCTTCCTCTCCTGTCTACCCCTCAGTTCCACCCCAAGACTGAGGTAAGTACAGTGTTTCATCATTGTGCTAGGGAAGAAAATCCCCAAGTGTCTCAGTGAAGAAGGCTTGGAGGGACGGATGAAGGGACAGACAGATGGGTAGGGGTCACGGTGAGTCCAGATGAGCCAGATGAGGGAGGTCAATCAGACAATGGTGTCCACAGAGCTCTACTCCACCCCTTCCACCAATCAGAACTGGTACCACTTTTTGTCTTTGCACTTCAGCATCATCTGGAAACGAAGAACACATAGTCATGGCAACATGGTCCAAATGATCGGGCAGTACCACAAAACCATCACGTCTCTCTCTAAAACCACTTCCATTTGCTGTTGATAAAGTTAATTGTATGTAAGGATGTATATGAATTTGCTTTGATTTTGAATTTTGTTTACTTGGTCAGTCAAACACTGTAAAGAACAGGGGCCCTCACATAATTTTAGAAACCGTTTCCATTCTGAAAAAAATCTACAATTTGAGTAAGAGTCTTAGTTACAGTACAGTGAATGTTTCATGGTTACATACTGCCCTCTACTGGTTAAATAGTGTCAGGTATTACGTGCAATATTTCACAGTAACTGCTTTGCTGTGTAAAATATTTTATGGAGGGTCAAGACTGGTCACAAGCATTTAATTTCATTGTTTATTGTTTGTCAGTAGCACTAACGTACAGTGAGCATTCGTGATTTCACATCGTCGCTCTGTTAATTGTGGGTATGAGTTTTCAAGCTCGACGTCCTTCTTGACACTTTTGCTCACCTCGTGGGCGTGTTTGGAAAAAGAGTCTGCACTGGCCATCATGGCGGCCGTCCTCTCCTCCAGTTCACCCAGTTTCTGGCCTCTTTCATCTAGTGCTATCCGGGCACGTGCCAGATCACCAACCACACCAGAGGCAGCTCCCTTCATCCCCTCAATGCCACCTGGGCCAGGCATGTGCTGGGCCAGACTTCGCGATGCCCTTCCAGCTGCTACTTCACCAACTGATCGAAGGAAGAAAAGACAGATAAGCATGAAGTGATGGTACATATAGGACAGAAATATAGTGCATGTATATGATCAGATACATATTCAGCATACATAGTTCCTCTCTGTCCAGCGACTGTGCACCGCCACCAAACAGGCCTTTGAAGAACCCTCTGTTGGGGGCCTCCGGTGTCTCCACTGGTGTGAAAAGTTCACCCAGCATCTCCTGAAATATTAACACATTTTATAAATACATATATAAAATGTATAAATATAGATAAAGATATATATACTAGACATATCCCCCAACTGTGAGACACACTGCAGTAAAATCTGGACACGGTTATAAATAGAATAGTTCTCACCATGGATGACTCAGTTCCCCATAGTTATTTCAGGCCAAGCAACTTATGTGAGACAAGTTTCAAACTACTTAGGCTTACTTTGGATTAACTCTATTCCTTGCATTCATTTATTGATGTTTTGTGTTCATTAGCACTGACACAGGCAGTGAGTGAGTGTATGACAATATAAAGGTTTCTCCTGGTCCAGGCTTAGGCGTCAGAGCTTTGTGTGCTCGCTGGATATTCCGAGCAGGGTCTGGTGGGAGAAAGAGCTCAGCTCTCAACAAGTGTTCCACAAACTGCAGCAGAGTTTCCTTCAGAACCTTCTATTAGGCCTATTGATCCATTGATAATATACATTACTGGACAATATACATTTTTCTAGGGCAGCCAGTTTTGTTATAGTGACTGAATTAATGCATCTTTTGTGGCCATGTTCCAAATTTCCATCTCCTCCAAGTGTTTTGCAGCTTCTTTGAGTCTTGTCTTATAGCTTGCTACCTCACCTATTGTTTCTGTCAGTTTTATATTAATGTCCGGAATTCTTCCTTCATTTCTTGTTTAATGTCAGTTCTGAACTTTGCCTTGTGAGTGTGAGTGAATTTCTTTAATGATGTCCTGGAAGCCTGGGTGGAGGTGGCTAGCCCCTTCTCCTTCCACATGCTCACCTTGCATGCTGTTTTCCGGCATGTCTATGTTGTCTCCTCTAGCTGGCTCCCCTGTCTTCTTGACCTTCTCCCACCGTTCATGACATTTATTCCACAGTTTAATGATTAAAAACACTTCAGGGCTTTTATTTGTGAGTTTTTACCAGGAGCTGCAAGCTTATGCTGCCATCCTCTCAGCATCCCCCTAGTGAATTTTGATTAGATAGAGGGAGTTTGGTGGGGGGGGGTTTCGGTTATGGTATTTCAATATTCTTCCTGTCTGTTACCCATAGAGACAAGGTTAATTTTAATACGTGAATATTTCTTATAGGTATAAAAAAACAAAAAAACAAAATAGCCTAGGTACTTAGTTGGCTAATGTATGTCTCCAAGCCATGCAGAGATTTTAAACTGTTTTGCAATACTAACACGTAGTAGTGCTGTATATAGAAGGCTAATTCACCTGTAGGTTTTCACAAGTGTCCTGACTGTAAGTGATCCTCTGGATCTCAGTGGGGGAGCAGAGGTACATGGCCTGACCCAGGTTAGTAAAGCAGAAAGTCCTGGCTATCCGCATGTCTGTCAAAGGTAGGTAGTTCACATCCATGAGCGGTCTCAGTCCTGGCACACTGTATGGGAGGCACAGAAACAATATCAATAAAGTTTTTGACCTACTCTGAACTCTACTTATTTACACTCAACATCCATTTTGTTAGGTATACTATTTTGTTAAGGCAAATAACTCATCAGCCAAGATGTGCAGCAAATCCATAGACAGTCAACATGACCTGCTGAAGTACAATCTGAGCATCAGAAATGGAAAAAAGGTGTCAGATTGGCTGGTCTGAATATTTCAGGAACTGCTGATCTAGTGAGATTTTGCCACACAACCATCTCTAGGCTTTACAGACAAAACTAGACAATAATCCAAGATCAGCAGTCGTCTGAGTTGACAGGAAGGAAAGAGTAACTTGCAAAAACAAAAAAAAAACCCCAAACTCTGGTTATAAATAAGTTATGCAGAGAAAGATCTCTGAATGTACAACATGCTGAACTTGAAGCAGACGGGTTACAGTAGCAGAAGACCACACTGGATGTCAATCCCGTCAGCTAAGAACAAGAAACCATGCTATATTTTATAGCCCAAAACTGAACAATAAAAGACTGGAAATTGTTGCCTGGTCTGAGGAGTCATGATTTCTGCTGCGACATTCGGATGGTAGGATCAGGTGTTGGCATAAACAACATGAATGCACGGATCCATCGTGCTTTATATCAATGTTTCAGACTGATGATTGTGGCGTAATAGTGTGGGGATAATTTTTGGCACACTTTTGACCCCTAAGTACCAACTGAGCATTACTGAAATGCTACAGCCTGCCTGACTATTGCTGCTGACCATGTTCATCTCTTTATGAACACAGTGTAACCATCTTCTGTTGTTTCCTTCCAGCAGAATTACACACCCTGTCACAAAGCTCAAGTCATCAGACTAGTTTCTTGAACATGACAATGAGAGATTCATGTCATAAATGTGTATCCGACAAATCTGGTCAAACTGTGCGATGCCAATTCCAATATGGACCAAAACCAAAACCTCTTAAGATGGAATGTTTCCAGCATCTTGCTGAATCTAGGACATGAATAATTAAGGAAGTTCTGAAGGAGAACGCTTTTCCAAACCAGTAAAAGCAAAGTGTACCTAATAAAGTGTCCAGCATTGCCTGGTGTTTGGCACTTTATCCTTGCTTTTAACATAGTCCAGAAAGAGCCTGTATTATGACACAAAGTCTGAATTCTAAAAATGAAGTCCAAAGTGTGAAAAAAGTGAGAATGCTGAGATTAAAGTTTGAATTCTGAAAATTCAGTCTGGAAAAAAATGTTATTTCTAAAATCGAGGTCCAGATTCTAAGTAAAAAATCTGAACTTAAGATCTGAACTAATTAAAGTCTGTATACTATAAAAAAAACCCCTCTGGATTTCGATGAACAGGTGCAAATTATGACCAAATTAAATTATGACCCCAATTTTTGTGTGTACCTGTCCTCTTTCTTACCATATGGCAGCTTTCGCTGTACACAGTTTACAGATTTTGTGTGGAGTGTCTTTGCAACAAGGACAAATATGAGCAAAATTATTTGCTCTCCTGCTTCTTTTGTTAAGTCAATTCCAGTTCATGTATATAAATATATAGACATGCCATGCATGATAGAGGGGAGAGCAAACATTCTTAATTCTAACTGCGTGTATTGGTTGAAACATTGCCTGACCTCAGATGTAGCCTTACCTGAGGGTCATGATGTGGCCGTTGGCACAGAAACAAGCCACGCACATGCCTTGGTTCATCTGCACCACATCTGCCCGTAAGATGAAGGAGGTCTCTGTGATACTGTGTTTATAGATGCAGGTCTGGGAAGGAAGGGCAATGACTTTGGCCTGTTTCTCTGAACACACTACAGCATACTGGCTCTCATTGAGGTCCTGGGAGGTGGAAGGGGACACTGAGACGGGCCGGCGCTTACGGACTTTTTCTCTTTCTTCGCCGTCTGCTGTGACGTTGGGTTCATACCAAGGCTCATATGCAGATGGCAGCTGAGAACCCGTGGAGTCTATAAAGGCCATCCGCAAGATGCTTCCCTTCAGCCGTACCAACATACCTGGTGAACAGGAGGAAAAAAATCTGTTGGAACATTATATTTCCAGAGTACTGCTGCATTTTGGAAATGCTTAGTGTGTTCTGGTGAAAAATGACTCCAAAGTTCAGTGATGGACGCCGAGATAATGCCATTCAAAATAAGTATCAGGTTAGTCTGCCTGAGATTTTTAAATACAAAAACTAAAGTTTTGACTGAATATATCGATAGGAAATTACAAGTTATCAAGGCCTTCATATTCTTTACATCTTTAAGACACTCCTGCAGTTTAGTAGAGGACAAGTAGAGGACAAAAGAAGAAGAAGGAGAGGCAGGCTTAAAAACTTACACACAGAAGTAGAACGATATATGAAATTTGTTTCTTTGAGAAATAGGAAAAATCTAAAATATACACATGATAAACAGTATAATCCAATGATCTGCATATGATCGCACAGTATATTTAAAACAACTATTTTAAGAACTTTTGGAATTAGTCATAAGGTCAGTAATTAGTAAATAAATGCCTACTTTAAAGTAATGGTTTGATTAAAGCCACCTCAAAAGCCTCTGGTATGTAGCCTATTAGCAGAGATAAATTGGTCATATTGTATTTATGTGTACCATTTTTGGTCCATTTTCACTTAAACATGAGGGTATTTAAAAATCATTGTGTACCGTTTTTCCTTAAAATTTACAGAGTGGGTTGCCAAATGATAGTTTGGTCTTTATTGCCGTTAAAACAAACAAAAAAACCTCTCACACTCTAATTTCCATCCCTCCCTCCCATCTGAGATTGCTTTACCCACCGGCAGGTGAAAGGATAACTGGCTGCAGTTGCCGTTGCTCTCCAGCAGGTGGCAATGTGAGAGCCAGAACCAGGACAGTTCCCAGGGAGGTGCCCACATACAGACAGGGTGTCAAAGTGCTGTCCCCCTTCCGAGCGAAAGTCTCACAGAAGTGGAATGAGCTGATGGCCTCTCGTGCTTCCTTATCGATGCTGGTGACACTGGACGAGCGTGAGCGGCTGAAAGAGTTGTCCCGGTGGTCTAATGGGTTGGCACCCCGCGGCGGGCATACAGACAGGAGGACAGTAAGGAGAAAAAACAGAGAGGTAAAGCACCTGCAAAAAAGTATTATTGCAAGACAGACAATGGAGAAGTTGGCACAAAATATGCTAAAAAAAATAAATAATGAAAAAATTAGAAACATAACAATCACTAGCTTCTTACTGCCTCAAAAGAGAAAGAGTTTGGATGTTAAATGCAATTGTATTTACACTTTTCAAAGCAAATTCAAGGCATAACAACAATAGCATTTTTATTTGTTTATAAATGATTGATTTTAGTACTGATAATGTAGATACTGGAAACTGAGAGAAAGAAAGTCGACTCGCACTTTTAACAGCTAGTGACAAAATAAAAGTAAACAGTTGGTGGACTTGTCTTTCTAGGAAAAACAGATCTCATAAGTTTAATTGCCTTTTTTAACAGAGCAGCATCATTTAAGACCTATTTGTTGATGATTTAACATCGCTGCAGTTCCCTTACATTATACAAGAGCCATCAATTTAACACAATTTTATTACTATAAAATAACCCAGCTGTTTGGCACATTACGGAAAGTTAAGTGTGCATAACACTGAGATCATTAAACAAGCATACAGGGGAATATCTTATTTTAAACCGATGAAACCTAACAATATTCCATGTTTGGGAAGAAGGTTGTACAGAAAAAAAGTTGTATTGATATTTTTTTTTTTTTTTTTTTTTGAAGGACCAATCAGACAGAGAAAAGAAAGACATGAAAAACACACAAGAGAAAAGAAAAGCTGCAAAAGTTACAGAAAGCTTTAGAGTGAGATGGGGTGTAAAAAGTTTAGCTTAGCACCACTGACCTCTGCTTTAACCCCCACCATGGTCAAAAGAAGTGTGAGCAAGGGTTCATTTCCAACAATTTGATTGAGTTCAATCATTTTAATTCAGTTCAGATCAGTGCTACTTTTGATGCATGCAAACTAAAGAGAACAGTTGCACAGCTTGCCAATTTTGAGACTAATAACCAGAAAAAAAAACTGGACTAATGTAAAGTGATGGAGTCCAGTCAGAGTGAGAAAAGTATATTGCATTTCATACAAATTGTTTGGAGACACGAAGTCAAGGCTTACCCAAGTCTGGCTTTAGCTCAGTAGGCAAGCTTAATTTCCGTGACATCTTTGCTGGAAAAAAGAGAACATCCCTCTTTACAAACACATGTCTAAGCTAACACACGATGCCATGCAAAGCTAGTTAATCTAGCATTGGACTAGGACTGTGCACACACCTGAAATACACCAAAATGACAGAAGACTGTTGAACAAGTGCCAAGGGATTGTTTTATAGAATAGGAGAGCCAAAATGCTTTAGACAGGAGGAGACACTGCATAAGGATTAAGAGACGACCCTCTGTATCACAGAGGCATGCTGTTACAGACTAAACAAAAGAGGTGACGTCTGTTTGCACAATGCCCTGAAAGACAGGACAGGTAAGACACACGTCAAAACTGCACGGCCATTCAGGACCTTCATGCCAAAGGAGCATGCAGCAAGAAGAAGGAAGTAACAAGAAACAAAAAATGAACCAGAGATGGAAGAAAACATAGTGAAAAGGATGGTTAAACCTGCTGCTGGTTATATACTTTCAGTACTAGTTTGTAAAGCATTCCATCTTTCAGAAGAGTGAATATAAATAGCAGTGAATGAAAGTCCTAAATATTATTTTCTCTGTCTGTAGGAAAAAGAAGGAGAAGGACGATAAAATGAGACATTCAGGTAATAGAGTTATGACTGTCTTGCAATTTAAACTGCCAGAAACCATACATAAAGAAATCCATACAAGTTCCTTTAAAAAAAACTGCAACATTCGTAATACCTTCAAGCTCAAACTGGGTTGAGTTGAATTTGATTATTTTGGCTTTTTTTTCCATTAGTGTACATGCTTCTGTTTTATTTTTTAAGGTAAGTGGAGAACATATAAAATCTTGCTGTTGCACGTCTACGGTATTTATGAAGGTGTAGACAAACTTTTAGAGCCCTAAATTAGCATATGCTATCCATACATGCATGATTTATCCAGATGATTTGATTTCTGTTTAGTACAGTATGCTGGAAATTGGGGGAATTTTATTGACTTTATCAAGATATTTTTTAAGCTAAACTAAAATACTGAACTCACATATGTGGGTATTGGGGATATTGTAAAAATATTGCACTGTGAATAATCAGGTGTTAAAAGGACTCAGGAGGACAACATCAGTTTCCGGACCAGGCTAAGCGAAGACAAAAAAATCCAGCACAAACAAAGCAGCCACAACATTAAAACTATTTACGAGAGAAGTTGTTAACAACAATTATCTTGTACTCTGAAAAGCTGGCTCTCAACAGTCACGTGAACGTTACTTTGGCATGGATCACCCACCTTCACATTGCTAGAGACCAAGTATATCGGACATGACGACAGCAATCCCCAAACTTTGCCTCCTGATGTTCACGTGGACGTTACTTTGGCATGTTTCACCCACCCTACACTTTGCTGGAAATCAAGCGTATTGGACATGGCAACAGCGATCCTGAAAGGCAGAGGCCTCCCCAGAAGTGCAAAAAGTGATCAGGAATAGCTCAAGGAACATGTCAATGAGCCCAAGATGTTGAACTCCCAATACCCATGGGATGTGCCTGAGTAAGCCTGATCAACAGAGGGCTCCACTTTTATAATGTGAGACACTAAAGAGTCAGGGCTGCTATGTCATCACAATGACCAGAAGAAATTTGTGCAGGTGGTTTTAATGCTGTTGCTGATCGGTGTGGATATTGTACTTACTGTCACTTGTATGAGATACTGAATCCTTCCGTTGCTAATCCTCTTTTTTGACTTGCTCACTTAGTTTAAATGTACTTTTACAAAGTTTTATCAACACACACTGAAGTTGGACAAAGACAAAATCAGACAGACGAGTTGCTCTCTGTTCAATGGTATCATCAAACTTCGTACAATCAGTTGGCGACAAGTATCAGATGCAGGCACATGTACAATATGACACTCGTGCTACATACATGTAGCATGCAATATGTACAGTATATTTGACAAGTAAGGTGTCTCAAGAAAACTGCAGTCCCACCGTCCTTCCAGGTAAGCTTTTGCTTCACAAGCTCTGAATCCTTAGAATATAGTTTTCTTATATTACTCTTCTGTGCTCAAATATCAAATATGAGCATGTTGTCATTTCAAACGAAGAATACTCATTTATGTTAAAATACAAAGTGGCTTCAAAGATAGTTGAATAGAAGCTAACCCAGGAGTATAGAGGAACGTCAGCTCTCCGTTCTCTACTTTAGTTCTTCCCACTGTGGTGAGTATGGACAAAGGAAGACAGAGACACTTTCTTCACAAAAAGAAAAAAAGGGAAACAAAACAGGGGCACCAAATCTAGACCACGTTTTTTCCTGCCTAAACAGCCTCTGATAGACATTTTTGCCCAATCTTACCTCCTCTACCACCTCCATTGTAGAATTGGTGTAGATTGCTGTTTGACATCAAGACTTTTGAGGGTGTTGGGGAGGAGGGAGGAGTAAAATAGAGTAAATGCGCAGTTAGAAAAACACCCATTTTTACCCCATTACCCCAGTGCGTGTGTGTATTAGCACAAAAACTGAGTAAATATTTATTTGGTCAACTATTTCTTTGTTGTAACAATGCTTCTTGGCAATAAATCTTGGAGAGGCAGTTTTTTTTTACCTTTAATTGATGCCACATTTGTAAGGAAATGCATTTGGAAATCCCCCATTATATGGATGTTGGCCTTCAATTTGGAGATTGTACTAAGGCTCACCCAAAATGGTTTTATGAAACACCAACTTAAAGTTGCCCTGTGGCTCTATCCAGATCAGTCAAATGTGGCACCACCCATACTCTGCTGCTCAACCCACAAATGCATTTTCCTTACAAATGTGGCACCAATTAAGGGGAAAAAAACAGGCTTTCCGAGATTTACTGCCAAGCATAGTTAAAACAAAGAAATAATCAGCCAAACACAGATGTGCTTACTTGTTCTGAGCAGAAAATGGCTTGTAATGTCAATGGCACCTTTCTTTTTGAAGGAACACTGATTTCACTAAGACATCCTGTCTTCTGATGTAAATTATTCACGTCCAATGTAAAGAACTGGGAAATAAATCAAGCCAGGCCATCCACATTTATACTGTATTTAAGTCTAAAACAAGCCATACTACAAACGTTACTTTCTTCCTCTGCAGAATTCATACCAAAAATACTCAAAGAGAGACAGAGAGAGAAAATAAACAAAAATCTACAACAAACTCGCTCACACTTAAAACCTAGATTACAAAGAGAGTTTTGTAGGAAAGCGCTCCTTATCTCTCCCTGTCCCATGAGTATAGCAAAGCAGACAGATGTATCACATCACAGTCTGGTGGCACCAGACACAGATACTGGGACAGCCATCATACCTGGAAACAGCAGCAAGCAGACTCTGTGATTTGTTTTCTGTCTGACCTTTTTAAAAAAGCTGCTTATTTTCATCGTGGTAATGCCAAGTTACCCATAATGAGATAAACCTAGGCTGTTCTCTCTTCAAGCACCTTCAGATGAAATACTAATGACGCAGATTAAGATGGAAGCAAGTAAAAGAGCAGCAGGGAATCTTGTTCCTGCATATCACAAAGCAGTAGATCATCAAAAGGCTGAATATTTAAAATCAGAGGTGGGATAGTGCAGCATAAAGTGGATTATGTTTTCCTTCTAGTACATTCTATTGGGTTTGCTGTCTAAATGTCATATACACACAAAAACTGCTTAATTTGGCAATACATTTAGACGAATCTGCTTCGATACACTGCATCCGGACACAGGGAAATGTTGAAAGAAGCACCCTAATCAAAATCCAAGTTAAAAATAATCAGAATCTTGGCATGCAATATATTTGTGAGTATCAAAAAGCATGGAATTTCAGTGCTACGGAATATATGAAGCCCCTTTTTCCTACTAATATTCATGTAAATGAATGTTTCTCTACCAGAATGCAGAGTTTGGTTTTCCCATAATTTCGAGCAGCCTCAGTGAATTACCATCAGTCCCCGGATGCGTTTACAGCCCATGTAACCCAGTTTTTCAGAATACAGAGTGAGATTATAAATGACGTATTCCCCTTTTTTCAACTCTGCAAAGTGGTAAAAAAAAAAAGAAGCATGGACATATGGCAAAACTATTATAAATCCATAAATGTGCAATATTTAACTGAAACAGTGCATTTTTAAAGAAAGAGGTTAAATGAAGCCAGACACGTGAGTGACTCAAAAAAGAAGAAACTTCTAGAGTTCAAGTTTGATGAGCAACAACTTCATTACAACAGTAATAACCGTAAAGGCTATTTTGAAACATTAATCTTCCTCCCAGCACACGTAAGTGGTTTTCTAGGTATATTTCTGACTGGTTTACTGTTTGGCCGTTATTTGTGCTATATTCGCCACTCCTCTCTTTCAATGACAAGCTGAAAGATATGTTACCTGAAGTAGGCGACTTGCAGCGGTCCTCCGATGTAGCCGAGCCTTCATTGATGTCACAAAGACCTGTATGAGAGATCACATAATTAAAACAAAAATCAGGTGGATTTTCAAAGAAAATATTGGCTCTGCGTATGCATAAAAAATATGTTTCTTTAACTTTATATTTTAGTGTCGCCTTGGCTAGGATCGCAGCACGTATTTTGGACCTATGTGCAGTCTCATCCGCCATCTGTCAGAGACTATCAAGGAGGTCTCTAGTTTTCTTTATCCAGTTTTAAATGCTACTTCCTCCCTTTCCCGCATGCATGTTTGAGTATAAGTGTGTTTATTTGTGTGTGACATTGTTCTGTGAGGCAGAAAGCCAAGCAGACAGAAGTCCCTATTGGCAGAGCAACACAGCTGGATGCCTGATTACTGCTCACACTTGCCAAGCACTGACAAGTGCCAGCCCACTGCTCACCAGTTAGTGACACCAGATGCTCTGCGAGTATTTAATGTGAGCCTTTTTGTGAACATTGGGATGTTTACACATACAGTACTTTGAGTCTGTACTTGCATGTGTGGTTGCTTTGCATACAGCACACATAAAAAAATCTCTCAACCCACGTGGACACACTTTGCTAAATTCATTAATCAAACTTTTGCTCAAGTACGGACAGGAAACTGTTGTGACGTTGCGGCAGTATCAAAACATGCACTGCTGTTTTCTGACACGTGGTGGCAGTGTGTCCTTACTGGAAAGGATACCGTTCGCTGTCCGTGGTAGACAATAGTAAAAAGGAAGGGATGCGTGGAAAAGGGATGGGCTGCGAGAGAGTGGGTATGTGAATGAGAGGCAAAGAGAAAGAGAGAGGCGGATAAACGAAGAGAGAAAGTCAATCGAAGCACAAAGAGAGAGCGAGTATTTGGTCGTCATCGCTCAATCATGCGTCAGCATTGTAGACTAAGGAAGAAAGAGAGCATCATTGTGGATTCAAAGCGTGTCGTCAGTTTATTCATTCTCATATTTGCATCAGTTTACAGTTTAGAACGGGAACTAAAGAACTGTGGGGTGAGCTGTTCTGGCAAAAAAAAAAAAAAAAAGGTTTCATGCTCAGAAAAATGAATAAAATGTTTTTCTTTCTAGCTTCCATCTTCTCTCTTTTCATTACCTCCAGAAGGCTGCCGCGTCTTTCTCGGCGACCGGGGCTGTCTCTGGTAGGGGTCATTAGAGCCATAAAGCTCAACCGTCCCCAAGTTGAGGACTACTGTCTTCTGGATGTAGTCCACCACTGCCAGACCGTTACTGTTGCCAAATACCACTCTGGGGATTGGTGACAAAGTAAAGAGGAAGTGGGAAGAAAAGGAGGGGTGAAAGTTTTTAAAACAAGAATAACGGAAAGTTACAGTTAGGAGATTTGATTTTGTTTGGGAATACGTAAACATTGTAGCTGAAGCCCAAAATCAGGTGGAATCTCTTAAATTCCCGTAGCTGCTGAACTGTGTCGACAGGACTTGAGCAGTAACTTCTTGAACAGCACCGGTATCTGTGACGATTTTGCCCGCAATTTGATTTGCGCTAACTTTGCTAATGTTGCTTTTTACCTTCAGATTAAGCGTCTTAACGTAAATAGCATAAATCCCAGCAAAGTCCCAGAAAATACTTCTAGTTTCAGCTAAGGCTTGCGTGTACTTACAGGCCGTAGGAGGAATTGACGGCCAGACTTGTGATCTGCTGAGGAGGCTCTCCACTCACCCACACTAACTGGACCACCAAATCTACCTGGTAACCCGGAGACTGCTTCAATGGAGTACTGCGCACTCTGTGGATAAAAGGAGGCGATAGACAAAAAAAAAAGGTTTCATAAAAAGAATGACGAGGGGTGCAGCTGCGGTCGTGAAGCTGTTGTGTATTGAGTGGCTACAGGGGAATGTTGGGGAGGCTGTGGCTGAGAATGCTTCGAGTGTGCTTGAGGCAAAAGCCAAGACTCTTGTGTGCATGAGTATGTGTGCAAGTGATCCTGCAGCTTATGAGAGTTTATGCGAGTGCTTCTCTCTCCCTCTCCAAATAGTTCTATATGTGTGTATGTGTTTCATACTTGAGGCAGGGTATGTTGCCTCCATCAGAGTTGTTGCTGCTGGTGGAAGGGTGTGAAGGTGGGCCGCTTGTCTGAGGAGAGGCACCGGGCGTCGGGAGCGCTGATGTCTGTTCACCCCCGCCATCTGGAGACTCTATGTCATTCAGTTCGTACTGCATTCGCACCTCTAGTAACTGGATGAGAGGACATACACACAGGTGCACATATTAACATACACATTATAAACGAGGAACATCACGAAACTTCCTCTTCTACATTCTTGTAAACAATAATTCCTCAGGAGATGATGACTGTGTCGCTAAATGGCTTTCATATGCGATCGCAGAGTCACTTTGATGATAAGGAGGGGTTTGATGTTTGTGTGGGAAGATTGAGAGTCTTAGAGGTCCTCCTATACTGCGATGTTTCATTCCTTCTGAGTCCTCCTTCAGGCTACCCCTTTGCAACCCGCGCCTTCGCAGAGACACGCGTGTACGCAATCCTAGATTCACACAACACCAATACACACACAAACTCATCAGCTCCTCTCTTTTGCATTCTGTCAGTCTCATTAGCCCCACTGACATGTGGGAGTGAAGAGTGATCGGTGCCCTTGTTCAGAGACTACCTTCATTTCTGCGAGGTTATTTAGAGGTGTTTGACCTTGTTCGAACACGGGCTGTTTCGCCTAATTACAGCTCGCCATTGCTGCATGTAGCGTTCTGATCCACATTACAGCATGTGGCGTTTAGGACAAAGAGCTCTAACGTTTCTCTTCTGCGTGCATCAATGGTTACTGTCATTCACCCACAGAAAACTGCAAAGCTTTTAAACATGAACGTAGCTGATTTTTAATCTCTTCCAACAGCAACGAGGCTCTTAAGCAAGGCACTTGAAGTCTATAAATTCATAATTGCTTCTCGCTGTTTGTTTGAAAGAACAAAACATTTGGGCATTTAGGACAAACAGTGCTGAACACAAAAAGGGCATCAGCTAAACGCGCCACAGTGCCGCCCACATGCTTTGATTGACAAGCGAACACTGCGAAGTCTGCTGCAACAACACCTCAGCAATGACTGTTCACAAGAAATATGTTGCCAGGACTAGAAAGATAATCTCAGGCTAGACACTATTTTATTGCTTTGCTACCACAACCAACAGCAAAGCGTATATGCACAGTTTCACGCTAATACAGAAGCTGCGAGCATACGCGGAGATAATAACGACATTTCTCTTTATTTCATTAAGCGCCCGCTCACATCACACCACCATTAGCGTTTACATCGCTATCAAAGCAGGTCATAATGATGGTCTAGCTTTGCTTGTTCACTGCTCTGTCTGTTGGCATGGTAACCATACTGCCTTTGACTAGGCAGATCTTTGAGTTCATGTGGTTGTGCATATGCCTCAACATCTGATGCTTAATTTATAATACCGCAGTTGTGTCCGTTTGCTTACGGAGAGGGGTTTTGGAGCGACGCAACCAGCCGCTGCCAGACGAATGTGGATGACACTGTGCATCGGTCAAATGCAGATTGGTTGACGAGTGGGCTGATGTCATGCCAGAAAGTGATTGCCTTCATTTGTAGTGTTGTAAATGACTTTTGGCCGATAATTTGTCAGACATATTATGAACGATGAAATCATTTTGAGCCAGAAAGAACATTTCTGTCAAGCTGTAAAGACACACTTATATATCCTTTATTTATCCAGGTAAGAATAATCATAGATATTGAAAATGTCCTTTTTAACCAAAATCTGGAGAAAAAGGCAGCAGAAACTACAACAAATATGTCGTGAAAGTTCTATAAAGATACACTAAGTGGTCAAAAAGGACAAGATTGATTATAATGTAAAAAACTGAGTAGGTACAATAACGCAGAGTTATAAAAATCCTCACAAAACAGGTAATTTCTTAACTTTATCTCCAGTGCTTTGTAAATCCTGTTGACTACGGCCTATTTACCAATTTTAAGAAATAATATGAAACATAAAAAACATCTGCAATCACCTTTTTGCAGATAATCTTGTTTTTGACTTAAGAACAGGGAAGGGAGTGTGAAAAGTACAAACAGTGGCTGCGGTGGACACTTCATTGTTTTTAACACTCGGTTTCACTTCAGCTCTTTGTATCTCATGACTTAGTTCTCCTCCGAGGCAAACTGATGGACCAAAAACAAAACAAATAGTAGCCCACAGCTCTACAACATATTTCTGACAAGGTGTAACAGGGTCATGAATCACATTGTTATAATTACACAAAATGTGTCCTAAACCCCCAAACTGTTCCTTTTATACCTGACTTTTAGGACCTCCAAGCCTGTAGTTATGTTCATTATCAGTTAGAGCCCCTCCTCATTCTTTTCTTCTTCTTCTTTGGTGCAACCCTATAAATACAGTGTACCCCTTTTGCCTCTCCCCTTTTCTACAATTCCCCTGTGGGAGAGGTGGGTGTCATTTCTTTCCCAACACTGTAAAACGCTCATATAATGCATATTTAGCCACCTGGATGTTTCTGATTGTGATTTTAGTTCGATTATTGTCATTATTAAGCCTGTTTTTGTTAGATGTTATAAGTGTGTAGTATGTGTGTATTATAAATGTGTTTTAGGCGCCATAAATGCTAGCTTGGAAGTTGTGGTGGGTTGAGCTAACCCTCTTCCCCACTGTTTGTATTTGGTCGTAGGAGCTGGAGTGGGCAAATGATTTACTTGGAGGCCTTTCTTTCTTTCTTTTACCTTTTTTTGATCAGGTATGTCGGATTTCATGTTGTTGTTTTTGTTTTATCTTATGTCAAATATGTTACGTGTAAATCCATACTTTATGTTCAATGTAAAAATAAATGCCAGCCCTTTTCTACAATTCCCCTGTGGGAGAGGAGCTGGAGTGGGCAAATGATTTACTTGGAGGCCTTTCTTTCTTTCTTTTACCTTTTTTTGATCAGTTATCAGACACAACGCAGGATCACACCGGTTACACTGGCACCCAGTGAACAACAGGCATTTATTGCAGGCAGACGGGCAGTCCATCTCTGCTTTTCACCCTTAAAATGAGTGGTTAGGGCATTTCATGTAAATCCCTTTTTTTGTGTATTAGGAAGCGACGTATTACAAAAGACGATTAGGAAAAACATGAAATTCCTGAAAGTTGATACTGACTGAGACTGATACCCACCTGAACCACCTCAGTAGTTACTTCCAGCTTACTGAAGCGGTAGATGATAACATTGGCTGACACACCGGCCACACACAGCATCCGGCTCTCAGGGCACCAGGCCATGATCTGAATGGCAAAGGGGTCTTCATCTGACACCTCTGTGCTGCCCTTGTCCTCCTTAGACCTGTTCCTGTCAAATATCTTGGCTGTTTTGAGTTTATAGAGCACCTGGAGCATTACTAGAAAGAAAGGAGGAAAGAAATAACATCAGGAGGAGCAGCTATATTGAAGCCTATGCTAAAGGAGACACTCTTACAGGCTTAAATGAATGAGTAAAAAACAAAGTGTCATTTAAATTTTCAAAGTCATTCTGTTTTCTTTCTTTCTTGACTTCCCTCCTTTTGCTTCCAAGTTAAATTGAAACTCAAAGTGTCCTTTGCCTTTTTCTGTTTAAGAGCTAATAAAATAGTCAATAAAATAAACTATATTTGTAATTTATGAGCTTAACCTACTTGCAGAGGCATCCCAGAACTTCACAGTTCCATCAGCGTGCCTGGAAATGCATGGGAGTGAAACGAGACACAAATGAAGGACCGTGTCAGTTATAACTTTTGACTTTTTATGTGAGCAAACAACACCAGCCAATTTGTAACATTTGCAGGGAAAGAAAACAATATCAGCCCTGGTAACAAAAATATGTCAGAATTTGCCATAGTAAAGCTTTTACAATCAAATCTTATGAGAAGTGAGAAAATCAAAATACACTTAGAGGGTAAAATGACTGAAAGGGAAGTTATTTATCCCTTAAAAAATCCTTTACATCAGCCACGCGTCTCTTCTTTGAAACCAACAAGCTGATTCCCAAAGAGCTATTACCCGAAAATTTGGTGTGCGGCGTGTTCTTGAAAAATCTGAGGAAACTGGACAAGTGGAGGGCAAATGAAGAAGTGACAAGCCTAAACAAAAACTGGTGAAGGCTATGTCGTGGTTTGATCCACCATGCAATACGGTGCCATCTCCAAAGCATCAATAGATTGATCTGAAGGTCAAAGTGATTCTTTGGGCCTCTGACATCTTCTTAAAGATCAAATAAGTCAAAACTTTTATAAAATGTCTTTTATCTTTAAAACTGTGCCTAAATTTCTTTTGCCTTTTTTTGTATTGGCAGCATTTAGGAAATAGTAGCGGGGATTCTAAACATCACATTAAAGATTGCATCCAAATATCATGTCACATTTGACCTCTGACTACAAGGTCAACTGTTTGATCTGAAAGTCAAAGTGATTATAATGCTATATAGAGGTATTTAAAACTGTGTTTCTCACCGTCAGTGATTATATTCACAACATATAGACATTTATGGAATATATGGGGATTCTAAATATGACGTTTCTTTGTACCTGTGACCTTTTCTTCAAAGTCAAATAAGGTTAAACTTTAATAAAAATGTCTTCTACTGTTAAAAGGATGCTTACATTTCTTCTTCTTCTGTTTGTATAGTGAACATTAAGATAATGATACTGGCATCTGGGTATTCTTTCAAGTTGTTCCCAAAACGCATTATATTTTTAAAGAAGGTATTGTCAACATAAAGAGAATGAGCTATAAATATAATATACTGTAATAAGCTCTCGTTACTAAAGTAGTAACATTTAGAATCCCCATATGTCATTTCATATATGCCTACATGCTGTCAATACAAACAATGACTTAAGAAACTGTTTTAAATAGTTCTATATTGCATTTTTATCACTCTGACCTTCAGACCAATCTTTTGACCTTCAAGGAGAGGCGAAACGTAGCATAATTTAAATCTTCATACAGTAGTTTCTATTTGTTAATAATACACACTTGTAAGAAAAATAGTTTCAAAGTTTTAAGTCTTTTTGTCAATTTTTGACAAATAAATCACTAAGTTAACCTTAAAGACCTCGGTGGATATGGAGCAAATCTTAACAGATCGTTCACATGACCGCACTCTACACCCCTACAAAGTTCTCAAGCTGTCATATTTAGAGACAGAACGATACGCATGCATGTAAACACTACCAAAAACATAACCTCCTTGGCAGAGGTAATTAGAGACGACTCAAGCCTTTTGCGCAGCGCTGTCATTTGTGATTTTTTTTTATAACTATAACAGTAAGAAATAAATATATAGCCAGAAGTATTCGGGCATCTGAACAGCTCCAAAGCAATATCAACATAATTCAGATCACAAGACGTCCTAATGATATAACGAGGAGATATATTCTAGACATACACGGGTTCCCAACTCACTAACAAACATTAGAAGAAGAAAACATTCAATAATCCATTAACATCCAAGCGCTTCTAGACAAACATAAAGGCGTAACATCAATATGTGCTATAAAAGAATGCTTTCGTATTGATAACTGACAGATTTTCTATTTGGTGTCACAAAAAAATGCATGTCATTTGGCTGTTTTTCTTCTTTGTTTTGTTGGCAATTCAGCTAAGTGGAGAGGGAGAGAAATACTGTGCAGGCTGTGGCACTCTTCGAAGGAAAAAAAACCTGGGCAGAATAATAATGTGGCACATGGGGGAGAAGAGACAAGGAGGAAGGAGAGGAGCAAGAGCCTCCTACTGCCTAACCCATACCTCAATGTCACTCCTTTCCTGCGTGTGTTCTGTTAAAAACACCCACCCCAAGCCCCCCTTGTTGACAGCTTTGAGAGGGATAATAAGCATCAAATGGGAGCAAAGTGCACATGACGGGAATATATAAAAACTTGGTGACCTGACAGTGCAGGAGAGGGGAAAGCAATTGTGCAGGATAATAAAGATAACACTAATGAAATTAGTGTCTTACCCAGTGATGATGATCTCTGGGTAGCTCTGTATGCCTTGACCCCAGTTTCCACCACTAATGGGCCATTCCTGAATAGACAGCAGACAACACACGCGTTACCTTAGTGAATGAGATCGTACAGGAATCACTATCTCAGTAAACAAGGTGTCAATGAACACACTGATTGTGCAAATAGATGACATGATAAACCAGCGCAAGTGTGAGTGCACGCAGGAAAACAAGCGCGAGTCCTTGGTGTACGTCTCTCAGCGTGTCTTGCGATTATGGTGTGCGTCTCCATGTGTGTTAGCGGGGGTTTGGCTATGAACACGTTGACACATACAAAGGTCAACGGGATGACTCACGGTGATCTTTATGTGAGAGTACCCTCCCGCAGCTCGGTAAGGCTTGTGCTTAACAGGAAAAAAATAAAGGAAGAAGCTAGGCTGCCAGTTTGGGTCAGTGCATGCTGACATTTCAGACAGAAAGCCAGAACAAGGCAACAGAGAAAAGAACATAAGCATACATAATGGCTGAAAAAGCAGGGGGTCTGTCTTAAATGATACAGAGATGTGAGAAGAGAATGAGAGGAGAGAGGAGGTGTACTGAGGACAGGAGTATCATTAGGTAATACGGCACTATTATATAGTCCATTTGGCTTCTTGGAAACATTAAAAAATATGTTTCTGAGGACTAAGACAAATTCACCTATTATGCAGAGCGAGGTATTAATGTACCCTTCATCCTGTGACCTTCTTGTTCTTTATGTATGTAGGCGCATTGTGGGCATTTCTGTTTCTTCGTTCATCACATCAAAAATCTGCGATGGCAACTGAATTATTTCATGAGTTACTGCAATTAATTTGATATCAAAATATTTCAAAACGTGCCTCATTCAATAATGTGGAGCAGCAGTTAGTTGTTTGTAGTCTCAGACTTCTAATTACAGTTCAGTAACTTCCTAATAATTTGTGTTTTCTGTGACGTTTCCCCAAAATACTCATTTGACACCAGTAACAGCTGTGATAGCAGCTCTCTGAGACACAGTCATGCTTCGATTTCATTTCTAACAACAGCATGCTATGCTGACAAAGCGGCAATATAAATATAGGGATGTTTAGCATGTGGTGTCTACCCGAGGCCTGTACTCAGAAGCTGGATTTCAAACGTAACCTGCTCTGGACCTTGCTGCGAAAATATTGAGGTCTCTAGTTGATCACTGAAAGCTTTTTGTGTTTCCCAAATGACCACTGATAATATAGATTTTTAGACGCAACATTATTCCTTGTTTTTCTGCTACGAGCAATTTAAAACCCATTATTGTTATATAAGTTTTAATACAGCAACATAAAAAAGGGCATGTGAGTCTTGTGCTTTCCGAGCTTATATAATTATATATGCAACTAAGCGCAGTTACTGGTTTGATATTGTTTTTTATATATATTTTTCTTTTATTGCTCTCAAACCTTTTTTACTGCCTGGTTTGCAGCTGAGGGACCTGCTAAAATTGTCTTACACACTATCGGTATGCCTTTATTTATTCATTATTGTGCAATGAGAGCAACATGTCTATGAATTTACAGTGTTTTTTCCCACAATCATTGCTTTCTTGCTTTAAAAACATTTTAAGTAGCACCTTTTTCATCTTACTTACCGCTCACACACATGCAGCACTTTTTATTACGACACTTACTTTACAGCAGTTTCCTTCTCACGCAGACTCACATACCACCTTGACTAAAGCAGCTGTATTTCATTTCATTTTAAGTATATGCTTCTTTCTTTTTATTTGTTTTATTACATCGAAAATATCGCAAAAAGCAACAAATAATGCCACGATCTAAATAGCCTCAAGAACAGATCAAAAAGCAGAGTCACTGACGTCAATCAGTCTGGAAAAGGTTACAAAGATATTTCTAAAGCTTTGGGACTCCTGTAAAAAAACAAGCTAGGAGTGGCCAACTCATCCAGGAGGTCACAAAAAAACCCAGAACAACATCTAAAGAACTGCAGGCCTCAGGTAAGGTCAGAGTTCATGATTCAGTGATAAGAAAAAGACTTGTGGTATAAAAATGGTATCCATGAGAGAGACCCAAGGAGAAAATCTGTACTGACCAAAAAGAACACAGAAGCTTGTCTCACATCTTGATAATCTCCAAGATTTTAGGGGGAAATATGTGTAACATAAGTGTAATATAAGTGTAACAAAACACAAACATATATGGTGGATGCACTACTTTTAGTCTTCTCAGAATAAATGAATATTTTCAACCATGCAAAACTGCAAATCTGAAAAAAAAGAGGCTTTGCCCTTTGAGTCTATGTCTTAATCCAAAGTCTCTTCTTCACCCACGATATGTTATACAAGTGATTTTCTATTAAGATGTCAGAGGAAGAAGGACGCATAATGGCATCTAATGATAAAACGTGCAGTACCTTTTTGCTGTAGCCCTGTCGTTTCTGCCGTGAGCCAACAGAGTAAAGTGCAGGTATGAGGTCCACAGAGCAGTCGGCAAAGTACTCGCAGCATGTCACAGGAGACTCGTGGATAGTCAGAGGATAGGGGTTCTCGAATATTGGATAACTGTTAAATACAGCCCGCACATACTCAAGTTATAAGTCAGTCTAAATAAAAATAATATGTCAGTTGCACTGGTCAAACACAGTGTTGCATACCTGCAATTCAACAAATGTTGGACATTGACTAAAAATGTTGAGTAAAGAAAGGAATAATAAACAACAGTGACAAGCTGTACTACTGGGCCAAGTAGCAGTTTACCCCATGGTTAAGAAACAGAAGTCAAGATAATGAACCATTTTTTGAACCTACCCATTTTGTGCAAGGTCGATCACCACTAAATCCTTTTCTAGAAGGACGACCACAGCGTAGGGTTCCTGAAAATCTGCAAACCGCACAAAGATTCAGAACATCACACTTTTATCAGTCTTGTAATTCCATGAGAAAAGAGCTCCCCTAAAATATTCAAACCACATGGGAAGAATTTCCCACTCTTTATACAGCAAATTATATCTATGCCCTTAAGATGTGAGGGCAGGAACGCTCAACGCTAGAATTTTATTATACTATGTAATTTATAACTGTAGGGGATATTGCTCAAGTTGAATATTTGTATCAGTCTGATTTGAGAGTAAAATGTCATATTCCATTTTAAGATTAGTGCTTCATAATAGATTTTAACTGTGGTAATGAATAAATTCATTTTATTTTACTTGCCACTGCATAATCTGCAGAGGCTCGGTATATATTGTAACCTGCAGTGCAAAAATTACTTCAGTTTCATACATTTGCAATAATCAACGTGTCAAGTGGAGCGTTTCCCAAATCTGGTTGTTATTAACAGCCCATTGACAAAAGCAGACTGGAGTTATAAAGCCCCACTTTATTTATGGGAGAGGGCAAACATGCAAAACCTCCTCTGGAGCTTGCTGCCCTAAAGGTTTGTCCAGACCCAGCTGTCACAGAACACAAGGGTTGTTTCCTATCATATCGTCCACGATAATGTAAAGTAAAAATTCTAACGTGCCATAAAATGTCATATGGCGATATAAAATGTTTATGTTTCCTAGTGCGTGCCACCATGAGACAAGCCCAGGCATGTCTGAGAACAAGAACTGTGTCTTAACCCT